CACCAATTAACATTTTGCCACATTTGCTTGTCTTTCTATGTATGTGTGTATGCACATATGTTTATGTATACATACATATACATAGTATACGCATGTGTGTACACACCTATATAATATATGTATATAAGATAAGTAAGCACATGTGTAATTAATACATATATAAATATTTTCTAAATGAACTATCTGTAAGTAAACCATGGATTTTAGGATTCTTTACCAGGGCTAAGATTAGAATGAGGTGAGTCAGGCAGAAAATTTAAGAGGGCATTGAAAAACTCATTCATCAACAGAAATATTTTAGTGCAATATTTTAAAATTCAATGTTAAATAAAAAAGTCCATGATGACTAAAACATCAACAAATTTAAAGACAAAATGTTGTTTGTTTTACAACCCTGCATAATTGTGCAATGAGAACAGTGTTTCCAATCAGCACGAGGTTCTGGGACATGTGGCTGTTGGGTTTTTGAGGAATGATTATGGCTTTTGAACAGACTGGGCAATGTGGGCTTTACATATACTCATGTTGTTTTGTTTGTTTGTTTGTTTGTTTAGTTAATTTATTTATTTTTGTTACAGATGTTTCTCCTTTTTCCTCCACTGATTCCCCCCTCCCCCTTCCTCCCCACCTTTGTTGTCCATGTCCATTGTTCATGCATACATGCATATAAGTTCTGTGGTTCAACTCTCCCCCACACTCCCTCTTCAGGGGATTGTCAGTCTGTACCCTGCTTCCATGTCTCTGGGACTACCCCATTCCTCAGACTGTTATGTTCATTATATTCCACAAATGAGTGAGATCATGTGATATTTGTCTTTTTCTGCTTGGCTTGTTTCACTTAGGATAATACTTTCCAGGTCCCTCCATGTCATCTCAAAGGATAAGAGATCTTTCTTTCTTACAGCTGCATAGTACTCCATTGTATATATGTACCATTGCTTTTTTATCCATTCGTCTACTGATGGACATTTGGGCTGTTTCCAGATCTTAGCTATTGTAATAGTGCTGCTACGAACATGGGGGCACATATATTCTTTCTGATTGGTGTTTCAGGCTTCTTAGGGTATATTCCTAGAAGTGGGATCACTGGGTCAAATGGCAGTTCCATTTTTAATTTTTTGAGGTAACACCATATTGTTTTCCATAGTGGCCGCCATCAACAAATCATCAAATAACAAGTGTTGGCGAGGGTGTGGAGAAAAGGGGACTCTAGTACATATACTTGTGTTTTGACTGTAGAGCTTTTAGGTAAAATGTGAACATAGGGGCATGCATTTCTCCCTTTTCGTCATGCTCCCACATGGCTCTGTGCTAAGGACTTTAGCATGCATCTCATCTCCCAAGAACACAGAGATTCTTCTATATAACTCAGTGCAGTGACCACATCCAGGAAGTTTGACATTGATGCACTATGATTATCTGATATACATCCATGTTTAAGTTTCCATGATTGTGGCACTGATGTCTTTTATGCTTTGTTCCCTACCCGACTGCACAAAATCAGGATCCAATCAAAGATCATGCATTACATTTAGTTATCAAGTCTCTTTATTATCCTTTAATCTGGAAAGCCTCCCCCCTTTTGTCCTTCACACAACTGACATTTTTTTAAGAGTCCAGCACCATTGTTATGTAAACTATCTCTCAATTTTTATTTGTCTGATTGTTTCCTCAACAATACTGCATCATGCCAGATTTTTAAAAACACATTCTTGTTCAAGTCCTATTGTACTTGGAATAGGAATAAGTGACTGCTTTCCAAAGTAGCAACATCAGATACCTCAGCATGTGGAGCCAGTTATGTGAGAACAACTGAAACAGATAGGATTTTTGCAGGAAAAGTAGATCATTCCAAATTATCAGAGGAAATATGTTCCTTTTAGGTGTTAAAGGTTTTGTGCAAGAAAAATTGCTGACTGGAATGACAAGAGGTTTCGGTTTCTAGGCCGACTTTGACTGATTGGAGGTGACATTCAAGGCTCTCCAAGGCCTCAGGAGGAAAGAGTCACCACGAGTAATGTCATAAGTGGACACCTAAGTGAGAGGGCAGTGGCTGTGGCTACTGTTAAGACTACACTTAATAATTGGCCTTACTGCTGCTGTAGGCCATAATTCTTATGTAACCTTGGCAAGCTTCCTGAACATGCAGACACGTAACTTCTAGGACTGATTAGAAGTTGGTAAGATTGTTTTCTTCTATTGTGGCTCATTGTAAGTCAAACTATTTTTCTATAATCACAGCTCACACACATGTAATTCTACTTTATCTCCAGATAGATCCTTAAAAATGCGTGAGCTTCTCTTGTAATGGTTTTCTAATTCCCAACTAGAACTGTTATTAAATGTTTAAAAAAAATTAGTTCCCATCCTCCAATATTCACAACTGTTGATCAACATTATAAATATAATGAGAAGATAAAACACTGATTAATTCCCTTCCAGGTACTGAGGCAACAACCTGGAAAGCTTTATTGTCACTTTGGACAATAAACTTAAATTTGAATATGGAATAACCTTATCTTCTTGGAATTTAATTAAAGGCAAATAAAGAAGCTGTACTGTGCATATTTTACTCAGAAAGGAGGGCGATACCATCCAGCTTCTTCATCGTTCCCCTCTGTTAACTCCTTGTCAACCAGTCTAGTTTGTAGTAAATTTCTCTTTCTTTGTCAAATTTTACTGTTTTTCAAATCTTTCCAGTTGGAGTAGTGAACCATGTATATACTCACAGCCTTCTCAGTTAATTCTGCAAAATAGAGCTGAAGGGCAATTTGGCTGTGTTTATCTGAATTTTAAGTTGACACTTCTTTTTCAAATTGAAATTTTTATTGAGATCATTGTAAATTCACATGCAATTGTAAGAAATTATATGAAGAGATCTTCTGTGGCTTTGCCAAGGTTTGCCCAATGATAACATTTTAAAAAACTATAACGTAGCCCTGGTCGGTTTGGCTCAGCGGTTGGAGATCAGCCTGTGGACCAGAGAGTCCTGGGTTCGGTTCCCACTAGGGGCACGTACCAAAAAAAAAAACCCCACAAAAAAACAAAACAAAACTGTAGCATAATATCGCAACCAGGAAATCATCATTAATAAAATCTACTAATCCCATTCAGAATTCTTCATTTTGACTTGTACTCACTCCTGTCTGTGTGTATCTTTAGTTCTAGAGAAATTATCACGTGTATGAACACAGCTTTGACTCAGCATTTTCACTCTTATGAATCATTCCTCCAGAAATATTTGCATGTATGCACAAAGCCACATGTACAAAAATAAGGACTGCAGTATTTTTGTAGTTGTAAAAGAAATGGTAACATTCTGCCTCCATCCTAAGGATATGATGAAATAGTTTTGGCAAAAGATGGTATACTTGTAGTAGTGACTAAAGTAAGGGACATACCTCTATATGTTGAAATGGAAAGAGCTCCAAGACAGAATAAATGTAAAAAGCATAGAATGATATGATAATATAATTACAGTTATGTGAAAAATGTAAGGATAAATATGTATACATATGTATGCATAGAAAAGCATTAAAAATGTGAATGATTCTCACCTGGCCGGTGTGGCTCAGTGGGTGAGCATTGACCCATGTACCAAGAGGTCACTGGTTCAATTTCTGGTTGGGGCACATGCCCAGGTTGTGGGCCAGGTCCCCAGTTGGGGGGCATGCAAGAGGCGGCCAATCGATGTTCTATCTCATCAATGTTTCTATCTCTCTTTCCCTCTCCCTTCCTCTCTCTCTAAAATCAATAAAGAAAAAAATTATAATTAAAAAAAATGTGAATGACTCTCCTCAAATTCTTAACAATGGCCACCATATCTTTCAGCTGAGAATACATAAGTCTGAAACAGTGAAGCTACATTTTGGGTATTAAAAAAAATTCTGCAATCATTTCACAGCCGGACTCTGCTTGAGACTCACTCAGAGTCTTCCCTGATGGGGAAGCAAAAACTCCCACCCGGATGAAAGAAGTAGCTGGAGCATAGGGGTGGCCGTCAGCCTGACCTAGCACCCAGGGGTACAAGATAACAGGGTGTATGTATCTACACAGACACATGTACAAAAAGTCAAGTATTTTGTAAAAGCAAAACTTTCACAAAATACAACTCTTTGTAATTAACAATTAAAGATAGCAGGCTTCTTGCATGCCCCCAATGCCAGCCAGCAATCCATTTTCCAATAGTAACCATTAATTATTTACTTAGAAGTTAATGTATTATGTGTGGAGGAAGGGTGATGTAGGGCATTTAATGAAATCCTTGCAGTTGGAAGGAAGGAAATAAAAGTTCTTTCCAAGCTTGCATGTTTGTGACATATAGACACATTTTCCCATAAGAAACTCCCAGAAAAATTGAAACCACATGTGCAGATGGCCAGGGCGAGCTGGGCATGTTGCTGTGCAAGCAGTTCAGCAGGGCTGCAGCAGCCCTAACATTGTCTGTTCTTGGGTTCTGGGGCTTGTCGCAACAGGAAGCCCCCAAATAACGAACGGATCCCAGCAGGGGAGCAAGGCTGCAGCTGGGAACCAGGTTTCCTTCACTCCCACCCTGTTCCTTCGCTCTCCAAAAGTTACAAAATATGACTTTCCGTCCTGATAACACCAAGCCTTCCTCACTGATTGGTCTCACTTTTGGAAAGGACGTGACATCAGCAACTTTGTAGACTTGGAGCCAGGGGGGGCTGTCCTGGGCTTTGGCCAGCCTCCAGCCAGCTAGGTGGCGCACGTGTGTGTGTGTGTGTGTGTGTGTGTGTGTGTGTGTGTGTGTGTAGAGAGAGAGAGAGAAAAGAGAGAGGGAGACTGACCTCAGGTAGTACTCAGCTTACTCTGCTTGTTCTGTTCTCTGTTGTAGACGGCTGTTCCTACCATCTGACCAGAACCGTGCAGCTCAGCCAGCCACAGCACTGGGATTTCCCAGGAGCAGGGGAAGCATGGAATTTGGTCTTTTCCTGAGCAACTGAAGTGGAACAGGGAGCTTGTCTGGCCCAGGAGAGCACTATGGATGGCGAACAACCAGGCAGGACTGGCAGCAAGCCCTTAAGGCCAGGAGACTCTTCTGATACCAGGCTGCTTTCAAATCCACTGATGGGGGGTGAGTTTAGGGGCTGTGGAATCAGAGTGCTGGGGAGGTTGGTTAACTCTGGAGAGAGAGAAAGAAGAGGGCTGGGCAATTTCAGTGGCTCTGCATGAGATATGTCCATGGGGCAGTTTACTAGACAGATGCCCATGCTTGCTAGTATATATTCTTTACACAGTTATTCAAAAATATGTCCACCACTATCTGCAGAGTCCTATAGACCATATAAAGCCAACTGTCAGTGTTTATTCTCTAGTAAAAACTTTTGTTACAACGGTCAAATATATCACACTACATTGAAGGTTTAAAACTTACTTATAAATAGGAACATTTTTACTGCCAAAACATTTATTAAAAGGTTTTAGGTATGTGGCATTGAGGTAGGGCTGGGTTTATAAAGGATGTTTATTGAGCACTGAAGTTATTGATTCACTTTAAAAGGAACTTTCTTTTTCTTTCATTTTGGAGACGAATCTTACAGGTATGATTCTTACCTGTCAGGTAGTATCTTTGCTAATGTATAGAGTCTCACACCTCCAGGAAACTGTCATTTTCTGTGAGGATTCAGCAGGTTCCTGCTAACTGAAAGTATTCTGAAAATGGGTATAAGTATTAGAGGAGAAATGATTATATCCAGCACTGTGGTGGGCTGCCCATAACACTTGCGATCAATAAGCAGGGACCCTGTAGTCAGCTAGGACTTATTACTTTTCTACTGTACAAATGCTGAAAGGGGAAAAAAACAGAAGGAATAAAATGCAAAATGCCTTTCCTCTGACTAGTTGAACAGATAAGACTGCTCATTCATTCATTTATTCCATTTTTTCTCATAAAATGAGCAGGGCACTGAACAGTGAGTGGGATTTGGATCTGCAAAGGCAGAACTGGATTAGTCAGATGGGTTGAGCATAGACTTGGAGCAGTAGAAAGCAGAGTGGCATTGAAAATCACTTTTTAAAATGAATTTGATAAATATATTTTTGAAATAGCAAACCAGTCAATATGGGAAAGAATCAGTAATTTAATGGTTGACTTCCATTAAATTACAGCTAAGTGTTATGTTTATTTTCATAACAGAGAGAGGCACCAGCCACTTTTCATTGTTGAGGGTTTCTGAAGGTCCTAATCCAACTCTGGTTAGGGTGGATGAGTGGGTGGGGGCGGGCAAGTGCAAATATAGTACAAGATACAGTACTTAAAAAGTGAACACACTGTCACAACTAGAATGCAGAGTGTCTTAGGGAGTCTAGTGAGAACAAGTTTGGAGAGATGAAGCCTGATAGTGAAGCTTCAAATGCTAGGTGGCAGGGTTTAGTTTATGAGGCAGGAAATTGGGAGCCATTGATTATTCTGGAGCAGAGATGTGGCAATAATGAAGACAGCAGTAAATTAAACTGGTAGCCACAATCAGGATGGATTTTGGGGAATCACATGAAATTCTTGTACTAACCCACAAGTTCTCAAACTCTCACATCCATCAGCATTACCTGGACGGGCTGATAAAATGCAGATGGCTGGGTCCCACCTCCAGCGATTCTGATGCAGTGGTAGGTCTGGGATGAGGCTGGGAATCTGCCTTTATAAAAGCCTCCAGGTAATGCTGAGGGTGCCATTTGGGGACCACACTTTGAGAACCACTGCACTAATCCAAGTATGAACCTTACATTTGGATCAAACTTGGAAATGACAGAGAAAGGAGAAATACGAGTGATCATTTTAAAAGAAAGAGAAATCAGACTATGATTCTTGATTAAATATTGCAGCTCAAAGAGTGAAAGCAGCCCAAATTGTAAAGTTTTCAAGCCTAAATTCATGTCAGATAAGAGGGCTAGACAAGACAGAAGTTGAGAAAGGGAGGATAAGGAGTTCTGTTTCGAACATAAATGTGCCAATGGCCAGTGCACAGCCTGATGACGTGGGACTGAGGCTGGGGAATGAATACAGGTCAGAAGTCAGATCTCTGAATCAGATAGGACAGGAAGGATTCTACCCCATCACATCCCCCAAACTGAAGGCAAATGTTTCTGCCCTCTCAGAGCACCCCGTCTTGTCTTTGTTTCCCCTTGACCTTGCAAAATGTTTCCCAGGATGGATAGATTTATGCTACTGCCCGGCATTCACTGGGGGCTCTCAGAGCTTCGTTAATAGCTCTTTTTTAGCATGTACCAATTAGTGCATTTTAAATCTCTTCTGAAATAATGGAAATTTTAAAAAATAATTTCAGAAATTGCAATAAAAATGAAATGGCAGCCTTTTTAATGTGCTGCCGGCTTTGATGGAGACTCAATTTAAAAGAAAGGTAAGTTGAACAGCACTAATTGGAGGGCTTACGGAGTGGTTTTGTTAGGAGAGCTTCCTGCCCCATTTAACCATGAGCTACTGGATCTGTGGCATTGCCATTGACCTCATTTAGTATCTATTTTTTTGGCAGTAAAACCAATAGACCCTGGCTGAACAAGTGCTGGGGAAGAATAATATATATCAAGGGCTTGGATAATGTGTTCTATACAGATAATGGCCCTTGATTTTCAAAGAGTTTGGGGTCAGTGGAAAGGGGATTGTGACCTTGAATTTCCCTTTCATCCATAGTCTCCTACTGTGAATATCATCCAAGTTCTGGTAGGAAAACATCCCCTTTCCCATTGACTTTGCTCTTTCCAGTTATCAGCAGGGAGGCAGGCAAAGCTGCTTCTGGGTTTAATTCACATGTGTTGAGCCCATGTGTTGTGCCTGCTTGGGGTGTGGGCTCTGGAAAACCCTGGAGAAACATCTCCCAGATATCTCTTCAGTTTTTTCAAGAGCTAAAGAAAGTGTGTGTGGACTAATTCATGTTGCAAATTATGGCATTTGCTAAACTGTGTGTGTGTATACACACACACATACACATATGTATGTATATATACACATACATAATTCATGCTTTCAATGCTAGAAAAATATCAACCTTTCATTGTCACAATTTAATTTTTTTTGTATAGTCACTCAGTTGTTCAGAAACCTGCTGAGGCTAAAGTCCTTATATAAAGTTGAGATTAATTTTGGCTTTACAAGGACCTACGTTTTTCTTCTGGGCAAGAGTATAGGCACACTGTGATAGCCTTACCAAGCTTTATCTAGGTGGACATGACTTTAAATTAAAAAGAGAAGTCTCGTACACTGCTGATGGGAATATAAAGCAGTATAGCCGCAGTTCCACAAAGGGCTCAACATTGCGTTATCGTATCATACAGGCAGTTCTACTCCTAGGTGTATGTATACCCAAGACAATTGAAAACATACATCCACTCAGACATTTGTATACGAATGTTCACAGCAACAGTATTCATAAAACTCAGAAGTGGAAGCAACACAAATGTCTATCAACAAACGAATTAATAAATAAAATGTGGTTTATCTATATAATGGATATTATTTGGCCATAAAAAGGGATGAAGTACTGATACATACTACAGTGTGGATGAACCTTGAAACATTGTGCTCATTGAAAGAAGCTAGCCACAGAAGACCACATATTGTATGATTATGTTTATATGAAATGTTCAGAATAGGCAAATCCATAAAGACAGAAAATAGACCAATGTTTTCCAGGGGTTGGGGGAAGTAGAAATGGGGAGTGACTGCTAATGGGCAAGGGGTTTCTTTTGGAGATGATAAAAATGTTCTAAAGTTGACTGTAGTGAACTACTCTGAATATACTGGAAACCGCTGAATTGTAGCTTTAAATGAGTGAATTGTAGAGTATGTGAATTAGAACTCAATAAAGGTGTTAGAAAGATATTGTCAGCCCTTTACCACATAGACCAGGACAATACCCCATGCCTCCCGAAGACACAGATATCTCTGCTCTGTAAATGCTATATTCTTTTTTTTTTTTTTTATCCTCACCCAAGGACATTTTTCAATATTTTGTTCAGATAGAATTAGAGGGGGAGAGAGAGAGAGAAACATCGACGTGAGAGCAACACATCGAGTGGTTGCCACCCACACGACCCAACCAGGGCTGGGGACAAACTGCAACCAAGGTACGTGCCCTTAGCGGGAACCGAACCCGGGTCTCTCCGGACCACAGGCCAACGCTCTAACCGCTGAGCCAAACCGGCCAGGGCAATGCTATATTCTAAAGCAGGGATACAAGACTGCAGGTAGCCTTTCTTTCTCTTACAGAAGTACATCATTCTTTATTTACCCTAAATAGAAGGAATAATGGTTCCATGAAGAATGACTAGAAAGTAAAGCCCATTTTTGTCTACTTGATAATGTAATTGCATCAATTTAATGAAATATGAACAGACTTACCATTTAGCACCCAAATTACCTGCCTGGACTGTTTAGGCTGTCACCTCTAATTATCTGAGGTAGCCTTAAGAAAGGTTGAGAAGTGTGGCAGCTGAGCACTTGGAAGGAAAAACAGATTAATCATCATGCACGATGATCCATTAGGGTCCATTTGCAAATCTATTTACAACTGATTTTCAAAACCTTTTTAAATTTTTGGCTCTTCTCACTCAAGATTTTGTGTGGATGGTATTTTGAATTAGCATCAACAGTGTAGAATTAGTTTTCCTTTTAATTCTAATTGGAAGAGAAATCTTTCTGTATCTGCAGTCTATAGTGTAGGCTCCAAGTGCTAGAAGCAGCAATATTTTTCCCAAGAGAAGTAGGAACCTTAGAAAATGCTTTGAGGACACTGAGTTTCTACTGAGCATAAGGTTTTAGAGGTAAGCAAAGCCACTTAAGGTGAGTCAAACACCTTAGTAAGCTCAGAAGGAAAGCATTGGATGGGCAGTGTGTAGGTGGGTTCATTCAGCTTCCCCTTACCTATTACATGCTCCATGAATCCATCTGGAAAGATGGTAATTTGCTCACTGGGACAGATTTTCAGGGACATTGATAACTCCATGGAGCAGGCAGACCTCAGCCAACACGTGTTAACTATAAAAGCGTTCTTGCCTCCTCCTTTATGGCCTTGCAATTTGCAAGGCATCAGTACTACCCTGGTTCTCCAGATCTTCTCAACTTTTAGGGGATAGCAATTCCTTTATAAGATGTGACTGGCATTAGACCATTCTGCCTTGTCTGTGTGCAGTAGCGTGTTTACTCAAGTGGGCAGAGCTGGAGCTGAAGCAGTCTCAGCTGAGCCTTCTCACATTCTGACTTCCTGAGTTTGTTCTGGAAATCGGTCGCAGTTTAAGATGAGAAAAATTCAGGTTTATGCCTCATTCAGATTACATCCACCCTCAATGAGAAAGAGAAAGGAAAACATTTAATGTGAGGGGATAGGGTTTACAGGCTTCCTTCCTAATAATGTGTGTTCCTTCCAAATGGTTGTGGAACAAATGTGCTATTTTAAATAGCAGTGATTATGGGGTGTACTCAAGACTCTCTGTGAACTGTTAGGGCAGGATAATAATAGTATCTAATAGGTATTGAGCCATGGGTAAGTATATTGCTGTCCTCACTTTACAGAGAAGGAAACTGAAGCTTAGGGCCTGTCCAAGGACCTACAGCTCAGAAGAAACCAAGCAGGTCTGAATATAGAGCTTTCTCTTAACCACATTGGCATGCTGCCTTTGGGAGTAAATCATATCTCTGTTATAAGGTCAGACTGAGCTCTGATTTGCACTTGATACCTGGACAGGAGGCATAGATTTAGATTTAGATTTGATTCGAAACCTAATGGTGTATGAAATTACCTGATTACTACGATTAGTATATGGCACTGTTTGCTGAGATGCCAAGGTCTGTATTTCACGCAGAAAACTAGACTGGCAACCAGAGCTTAACACATTAATACTGGTAATTAGTGAAGCTCTAACTTAACTAAATGGACCATTTGCCTTTGAAATCAGTGTGTAAGTGAAAGTACAGTAATCCATCTGTCATCCTAATCTACCTCTTTTATTCTTAGTTTCTGGACACTGGATGCACTTCTTTAGCTACGTAGACATTTCTAATACACTGTGTACAAAAAATGTCAATAGAGGGGAGAAATGCTGAAGTCCTGATGGGAGTTTTGGTTGATTGACTCCAACCAATATTGCCCATTAGTCTCTTATGATGAGCAAGGATGAGCCTCCAGGTCTAAAGTACATTAGCTGGATATAACCTGTCCCTCCCTTTTCATACAGATTTTGTGTCTGATTGGTCTCCAGTGCATGAAGCTGCAATTCATGGGCGTCTGCTCACTTTGAGGAATCTCATCAGCCAGGTAGGTTGCTTTTTTTTTCCCCATTGATCTTCAGATACAGGGGGAGGGAGAGAGGGAAGAAGAGAGAGAGAGAGAGAGAAACATCGACACATTGAGTGGTTGCCACACACACGACCCCAACCGGGGCCAGGGACAAACTGCAACCCAGGTACATGCCCCTAGTGGGAACTGAACCCAGGACTCCCCAGTCCACGGGCCGGCGCTCTAACCGCTGAGTCAGACTGGCCACGGCCAGGTAGGTAGCTTTTTGAAAATAAAAATATTAAGCACATCCTATTGCTTACCACACTGAGAAAAAAAATCATATTCTGAAATTAAGGTATGAATTCTTCTTCAGCATAGTGAGGTGAATCCTATCCTATCCACAATTATTTAAATTTGGAGGCTGGCTGGCATAATACTAGAATTTGGTATAATTCTATACACATAGTAGGTACTATAATAATATTAGATTATTAAGTATAATATAATATTAAATGAATAATGGGAAAATTAGTGCATTTAAGTTGCCTTTAGTTTATTCAATAGACTATGTTCTTTAAAATTATCATGTAATTTTGGTTCTCAACTGGGGTGGTTTTTCCCCTTAGGGGACATTTGACAATGCCTGGAGATATTTTTAGTGGTCACAACTGGAAGTAGAAATGGGAGGGTCATACTGGCATCTAATAGAGACCAGGGTTGTCACTAAACATCCTACATTGCACAGGGAAGTCCTGCACATCAAAAAATGATCTAGCCAGAAATGTCAACAGTGCTGGGGTTAAAAATCTCTGATATTAAACAATGCTTGAAAATGTCTTTTTAAATCTGTAATCTTATCCTTTGAAAGACATTTTCAGTTCTATTGAATATCCAGTTGATGGTGCCACTGCCCAGTTTGATATTAATTTCTCTGCAGTTTAAATCACCATTCAAAATTCTAAAAGAGTTTTTGTTCAGGATGTTCTGTTCTCTGAAAAGACAATAGATCTTTTAAGTTAAGAGCGGTTGACCTTTTCTGACCATTGTCCCCTTTGGCAGTCTGGCAAAGTCTATAGAGCCCTTCTCAGATTAATCTTTAAATACATAAAACATAATACAGAGGAAAGCTATCAAGATATTAAATGACAAATGTGTGATAGAGTTATATATGGACTTTTTAATTAATGCATCAAATGAGATTAATGACTACCATAATTTCTAAGTAGGATGAACATATATTTTGGATATTTTAAATACCTGTAACAATTATAATAAAAATATCTATGATTCCTCTCCATGATCGTCCTATAAACTGCTATTATTATTGTGGTTTGCTATCTACATTCATAATTGAATAAATAATTGAAGGACATGATACCTTTCAGGTAGTGGTTAGTGAAAATAAATGTGCTTTCAAAACAAATTCCAATTTCATGGATCTTTCTAGCATAAGTAACTCACCTATTAGAAAACAATTTCTAAAGAAAAAGTTCCGACTACCCTAATCCCCTATTTTAAGCTGTTTTTGATAGCAACAGCTTATTATAAGTAGAAATATAGATAGTAACTCTAGCTAAAAGAAGTTAAGCAGCTTCTCAGATAAAATGAAATGTTTACATTATTTTAATAGGATGAAAAATGATCATTGCAGCTTTTATTTGTCACTAAATTTGACTCATATTCATTTATATTCAGTATTTATATGTTTACTGAACATCAGCCAGAATCATGCCTTTATCTAAGCTCTATCTCATTATTTGAACAAGTTATCTTCTTGGAACCTCAATTTCTATCTTTATAAAATGATCATTCCAATACCTACCTGTGCTAGTCAGGTCTTTCTGTGTAACAGACTGCCCCAAACTCAGTGGCATAATGCAATAAACATTTCTTGCTAGCAGGTCTTTACATCAACTGATCTAGGCTGGGCTTGGCTTCAAGCTGTGGGTTGGGTGCAGATCTGCTGCACGTATCTCCCATCCTTCTTTAACCAGTGGCTACATGAGAAATTTTCTTCTGGTGGCATAAGGCTGGAGCATAGCAGGGCAAGCCCAACCATGCAAGAATATATGCAGGAATAGTTCCTTTCCATGGACCTCATCAGAACAATAAGCCAACAAGTAAGAGGACAAGAGAGAGTAAGAGCAAAGTGAAAGTCAGTCATGAGTATATGTATCTAAGAGTCAAATTGCTGGGTCATAGGTATGTATATAACCTCTAATAGATACTGTCAAACTGTTTTCCTGAGTGGTTGTATCATATTACATTCCGACAAGTAGTATGAAAGATCTTTTTTTGTTTGTTTTTTCTGCATCATTGTCAATAGCTTAGCGTACCATCAGATTTTAAGCCAGGTGAACTCTTAAAAGAATTGTCATAGTACTGGATTCGTGACTGAAAACCAAACCTAACGGAATTGATAGTTTACACCCCTTACTCTACCCATTTTCCCTCCTCCAGGGGTGGACTGTGAATGTCATCACAGCAGATCATGTGTCCCCACTCCATGAAGCCTGTCTTGGAGGTCATCCCTCTTGTGCAAACGTTTTATTAAAGCATGGAGCTCAGGTAAGTACCACTCAAATAACGTCTTGGAAAATGTGAATGAAAAATGGCTATTTCTATCCCTTTAGAATAATTTCCAGCATTTTTTATTAGCCTGATTTGAAATATGAAGAGAGGTGTTTTTCAAAAGTATTATGTCCATCAAGCTTGTCTGTCTCAGCAATACATGAAGTACAGTCATCCCTCGCCACTTTGTGCTTCAACCTTTGCGGCTTCACTCTATCATGGATTTTTCAAATATATTCAAAGTTGATCGAGACAGTGAAAATGATACAGTGTGCGCTCGGTTGTCTGAGTCAATTATACACCCCTGTATTGCAATTAAAATTACTGTACATATGGACTGTAGGCCTATGTATTCGAGCCCCCACAAATCCTTCAATGCCAGGTGCAACAGTTAGAGTCTGGAACAGATTAACCTCAATAAACAAGAGACGACTGTACTGAATTTTCAGCTAGAAAGTAATGGTTCCTGTCTAAATAATTTTCTTTCATAGTCACAACTAATAAATAGCTGTTATATTTCAGTCTTCATTCCAATGGATTGAAGATAGTGAAATATTGTAGATAACATACAACATTTGGCTCCAGATCTGAGTAGTGGTCCTAGGCCATCTCTACCATTTACTAACATTGGAAATTTGAACACTTACTTATTGTTTGAGCTTTAGAGTCTACATCTGAAAAATGGAAGAAATAACAAAAAGTTATGTAATTTACTGTGGTATTGCAAGGATTAAAAGAGGGTAGAGTATATGATTATTATTTGGAGAATGAGAATCAGGATAGCATAATGAGAGATCCTAGAAGGAGAACACAAAGCCCTTGAATTTGAGAGTAGGGACCCCTAAGTCTTCCATTAAGTCTCTTCATGCTCAAAATTGATTCATGCTCAAAATTGAAAATCTGAATATGAGTTTCTCATATGTTCTCAACCAGTATTTATTGAACATTGATTATATGCCCAACTCTGGATAATATTTTGAGGAACTTACAAACTAAATGAGGAGACAGTAGATAAGCAGGTGTTTTAGTGACTATAACACTTGCTGCTTTGATAGATGAACCCTGACATCTCAGTAGCCTAGCACAATGAAAGTTTATTTCTTACTCAACTGAAATTTCAGTGTGGGCGTTGCCAGTTGGGTGGTTCTTTCCCAAGGGTTATTCAGGAATACAGGCTTCTTTCATCCTGCTTCACTATTTTCAACAAGTAGCTTCCATGTGTGCTCTTGGGGTAGTCTCCATTCCAGGTGGTTGTAAGGGGAAAAGAAGTGGAAGATTGTGCATGGAAAACTTTTAAGGACAAGTCTGGGTGGTGAAATAGATCCCATTTGCACACATGCATTGACCAGAACTCAGGCCACATCTAACTGCCAGGGAGGCTGGGAAATATAGTATGGCTGTGTGCCCAAGAGGGAGGAAATAGGTTTGTTGAATGCATAGCATTTCAGCCACAGAAGGTATTTATAATAAACTGTTTTTTATCCATTAGTTTTTGCTATGCAGTAGACCATCCTAATTTCGTGGCTTAAGACAACAGCCATTTATTTATCTCACAATTCCTTGTGTTGGCTGGTCATCTCTTCTGGTCTGGGCTGTTCAGCTGACATCAGCAAAGGTTACTTATGCATTTGTGATTAGCTGATAGATTGGCTGGTTCATGATGACCTTGACTAGGTTAGCTGAGATGTCTGGGGAGCCATAAAAATCTCTTATGTGGTCTTGTCCTTTAGCGGGCTACCTGAACTTGTTTACGTGGTAGCAAGGATTCCAAGAGTAGCAAAAGGGGGCAAGATCTCTGCTTATAACACATTTGTTACTGTCTTATGGGCTAAAGCAAGTCATATGGGCAATGCCAGATTCAAGGACTAGAAAAACAGTCTCCATCTTATGAAGACTTGCAAAGCCACACTGCATACTGTGCAGAGAATCTGTGGCTATTTTTACAAACTAACAATGTATTAAGTGTTAATGGTAAAGGAGTTGTTGGGAGCACACAGAAGTGCTCCTAACCCATTTATTTCTGATGGGGAGAGAGTGAGTCAAAACAGGTTTCCTGTAGGAAATGATGTCTAAGCTGAAACCTCAAGGACCTATTTGAGTTATTTATCTAAATGGAGGGTTGGGGAAAATGATGGGCTTCCCTACCACTGGGAATACCAAGTGAAAAGGCCTGTAAGTGAAAAGCACATTTTTGTGATTTGAAATAATTCCTTATAGCAGGAGAGTAGAGTTGGTGAAAGGGGTCAGAATAAAAACACCCTTGTCCATGCCAAGAAAATGGGCTCTGTCCTGACAGCTATAGAGAGCTTTGGTGAGTGCATCATTAGGTTTATATTTTGGTTAAGAAAATGTACCCGAAACTTGGAAACAGAGCCAGGACTAAGGAAAGGCAAGAGAGGTGCCTAGCGTGCAAACTTCTAAGAGCTGCTCACTCTCAGAGGCATACAGCTCTTTTGTGACCCTGGGAATGAGTGTCTTCTTAAATTTTTCACCCCTGGATTTCTTTTGTGCCTCACTAGTCCTGGCCTTGCCTTCCAATATTACTGTTTAACAGTTCGCCATAGAATTTCTAAACAGTATAGAAAAATACATCTGCATTTGGCTTTGCTCTTTTCTATTCAATTATAGCCCAAACCCTGTGAAGTTAGATGCTAATTTGTAAGTTTCTGTCTGATTTCCAACATTAGAAAAGATAGTCCCAAAGATTATAGTTTTGTGGCCTAATAGGGCATTAATCAGTTTTGTGTCTAGCAAATTTATTTCAGCATTCTATTGACTGACTATATAAATTCTCCTTTTAGCCAGCCTTACCATCTTACTGGTTCTATCATTAATGACTGAATTGAAAAAAAAAATATTTGGCATGTGTTCACTCTAGATTTGTATGAACATACTGTTTTAAAATTTTTTTAAATGCTACATTAACAATTTTAGAAGGTTACTCTGGCTGCTGTGAAGAAACTGTATTGGTGTGGCATGAGTCTGGGATGGAATGTTTAAAATAGAAGAGATTACTTTGTAAGGTACTGAAATGATCCTTATTGGTTTCAAAGTCCGTGCTCCTGGGGAGGGCATGAAGAAGATAGACCATTCAATAAAATTGTTCATGCCTTACATTCCATGCCTGATTCAGCTTTTCACAACCTTGTGGAATTTCCTATTTTTGTCCCCATTTTGTGGTTGTGGAAGTTAAGAATCAGAGAAGTTAAATACCAGCTTGGTGGAGTCTAGATTTGAATGCAGGACACCCCACTGCCTGCCTTCATCGTGGAGCTTTTCATTCCAGGTGAATGGCGTTACCACAGACTGGCACACTCCCTTATTTAATGCTTGTGTCAGTGGCAGCCAGGACTGTGTGAATTTGCTTCTGCAGCATGGAGCCAGCCCCCACCCTGCGAGTGATCTGGCATCTCCCATCCATGAAGCTGCTAAGAGAGGTAAAGTTGTTGAGAATTTAAGTTTTCCAACCACTCATTCAAGGGATCTCACTATTGAAAGAAAGAAGGAAGAGGGGAGTTATTTTAGAGCAGTAGTTCTCAAGGTGGGGTCCTGGGACCAGAAGCATCAGTGTGACCTAGCACGCAAATGCAGATTCTTGGGCCTCACTCTAGACCCATTGAACCAGCAACTCTGGGGGTGGGGTTCAGCCATCTGTGTTTTGGTTAACAAGCCCTCCTGATGATTCTGATGAATAGGAAATTTGAGAACTACCTTTTTAGAGCATTCCAAATGTTGCTCCCAGGGCCTGTCTTTGGTGAGATTGTGAATTAGCTTCCCTGTCCCATGGCCCGCACTGTGCCCTTTCTTCTTCAGGTCCACTCAGTTCCTGTTCCTCCATACCTCTACCCAACTTTCACTTCCATATCTGTACTTGGACTGATTACAAAGTCCAACCAATTGAAAAAGGTGATGGCTGCTGGTTGCTTAACGTGACTAGTAAACTCAAGTGCACCCAGAGCCACAGATCACATCTATGGTCAACCCATTCACTGATGGCAGTATTTGAAATCATTCCCTATTCTAAGCAAAGGAAATAGCTTTTGGTTCCCTGGATAAGTTGCTGGCAGATTTAAAAATATGGTTACAAGAGGGAAGGAGGGGTAGTAAAGGGGGCCAAATATATGGTGAAGGAAGGCTTGACTTGGGGTGGTGGGCACACAATGCAATATACAGATGATGTATCATAGAAATGTACACTTGAAATCCATATAATCTTGTTAACCAATGCCACCCCAATACATTTAATTTAAAAATTAAAAAAAAATGAAAACATGAAAAATGGGGAAGGTGTTTACCTAGCTAAGAGAAATTGTTGTGTAACTGTTTTCTCCTACTTTGGGCTGCAGGCCATGTGGAGTGCATCCAGTCCCTTGCAGCTCACGGGGGTGACGTTGACCATCACATCAGCCACCTGGGTACTCCACTCTATTTGGCTTGTGAAAACCAGCAGATAGCCTGTGCCAAGAAACTTCTTGAATCAGGTAAAACAAAAAGCAAAATGAAATGAGGAAAGCTAATAGAAACTAAGTTAAATATATTTTAAAGCTCTTTCTATTGTAGCAGAGGAAAGAGTATAGGCAGTGGAGTTGGACAAGGTCGGGATTCCTGTTTATTGTGTTCCCATAGGAATTATTTGAAATTGTTAGATCTTCAGCTCTCTCTTGTGATGATGATGATGATGATGAAGATGGTAATCTCTCCTCTCTGGGTGGTCCTCAGTGATGAATACTTTCTCCTCCCTTTCCTCTGCCTTCCTCCTCTAGCCAGTCATATTATTAGGCTTTGCACAACTCCCAAAGCTGCTTGATTAGGACTCAGTCTTCCTATTTGTAAATTGAACTTGTCTCATTTTTAGCCCATTGTAAATATTATATTATCTTTGAAAAGGCCTATCTAGCATCATTCTTTTTCACTTCCCTGCTATTGTCCAGTCCCTTCTTCAACACTTGGAACACTATTCCCTCCCCTCTTTAATTATTTGAGTCCTATTTGTTCTTTAAAACTCCAGTAATCGCCCTGGCCGGTTTGGCTCAGCGGTTAGAGCGTCAGCCTGCGGTCCAGAGAGACCCGGGTTCGGTTCCTGCTAGGGGCATGTGCTTCGGTTGCAGTTTGTCCCCGGCCCTGGTTGGTCGTGCAGGTGGCAGCCACTCGATGTGTCCCTTCACATCGATGTTTCTCTCTCTCCCTTCCTCTCTCTCCCTCCCACTCTATCTGTGCAAAAAATGGAAAAATGTCCTCGGGTGAGGATAAAAAAAAAACAAAACTCCAGTAATCTTTTCTTCCCTGAATGTTTTTATAGTTCTTATTGCCTTCTACTCATCTGGTAGCCATTTCCAGGGATTAGGAGATTCATATTTATTCATTCATATTCATTGTCTCTTTCCCTCTCTTTCCATCTCTCTCCCTCCCTTTCTCTCTCCCTCACTCTCCCTCTCCCTCTCCTTCTCTTTCTCTATCCTATTACCCTAGCTAGATTTTAAGCTCCTAATAAGGGCAGTGCCAAGTGTGGCATCCCTCAAAACCAAGAACAATGCAGTTAACATTTGTTGAGTGAACATAGATTCCTATTTTACTAGAGAGAGCAGCTCAAGCAAAGCCACATGTTCCCACATGTCACAGTGTGAGCCAGCATCCAGGCTGGGGTAGGGATTTGTTGAGAATGAAGGGATAAAATGGGGTGGGGTGATCCTAGAAATCCACCTGACTCCTGAAGATGAAGACTTTGTCACCTTCCCTGTGATCTTTGGATTGGCCACCCTGGTCTAGGGATACCCTCACAAGTTGTTTGCTTTTCACAGTCCCAATCACTGAGTCCCAAGTGTCAGGTTTTAAACCCCCCATGGCAGTTGCACAGTAGGTGAATGTTTCTGCTTGCTATAGATGAGATTTCACCATGCAGCCTCACTTCCGGTGTGTGCTGGCTAATATTAGGGCTCCATTAATAATGGCCACCAGTTTTCATAGAATGAAGATATTATTTTAAACTTAAAATTTTTGTTCATTTATTGATTTTAGAAAGAGAGGAAGAGCAAGAGAGAGAGGGAAAAAACATTCATTTGTTGTTTCACTTATTTATGCATTTATTGGTTGATTCTTGTATGCGCCCTGACATGATTTTTCTTGTATGTATCCATACCTATGGATAGTACTCACAGTTGAGATTTTAACCTCATATGCTTTTGTGCATTCCATGACATGGTCAAATGGCATGTTCCCCATGTTATTAAATGGAATCAAGTCATCTTCCAATTCCTCAGGAGAATTGTCATGCCCAGTATGGATGCCCTTTTGTTAGGGAATTTTGAAGTGCAGTACTTTCAGAAGGGGGATGCTTGGACTCTGCTCCTTAGCTGACTCTCTGTTGTTGTGACTCCTTAGGAGCAAGCGTGAACCGAGGCCGAGGTCTGGACTCTCCTCTTCATGCAGTGGCAAGGGCATCCAGTGGGGAGCTGGCCCGCCTGCTCATGGACTTTGGAGCAGACACCCAGGCCAAGAATGCTGAAGGCAAACGTCCCTTGGAGCTGGTGCCTCCAGAGAACCCTCTGATCCAGCTCTTTTTGCAGAGAGAAGGTGCTTCTCCTTTGCCCGAACCTAAGCCCTAATCCATAGATTCCTGTGGGCTCTAGCAGGAGGCAGGTATTGACCAAGTTCTGACTTCTGATTCTACAAAAAAGATCATTCCCCGTCATTACCAAATGTGAGGAACTGAGATAATTTAGTATTCTACAAGGTACAGCACTGGTGATATAATAAATAACCATCTGCTATTTGTCATGTGCAAGACAGGCTGTTTTGGATGATCTAATATTCATACCTGGGGGTAGGCCAGTTTTCAAAGAATGAAGGTATTATTTTAAATTTTTAATTCATTTATTGCTTCTAGAGCAGTGGTTCTCAACCTGTGGGTCGTGACCCCTTTGGGGATTGAACGACCCTTTCACAGGGGTCGCCTAAGACATAACAGTAGCAAAATTACATTTATTAAGTAGCAACAAAAGTAATTTTATGGTTGGGGGTCACCACAACATGAGGAACTGTATTAAAGGGTCGTGGCATTAGGAAGGTTGAGAACCACTGTTCTAGAGAGAAAGGAAAGGGGAGGATAGAGAGAGAGAGACAGAGACAGAGAGAAGGAGAGAGAGAGAGAGAAGGAAACATTGATTTGTTGTTACACTTATTTATGTATTCATTGGTTGATTCTTGTATGTGCCCTGACAAGGGATCAAACCCACAACCTTGGTGTATCAGGACAATGCTCTAACCAACTGAGCTACATGGCCAGGGCTAAAATTTTAATATTAGCTTTAGCTGAAACATGCTTTAAAATGAGCAGAAGCTTCTTTGGAGTTGTACAATGCCCAGGGTGTCTTACTGCACTACAGATGGGCTAAACTATTGGGCATTTGGTTTCTGGGGGAAAGAATGCAACTAATTGAGCATTGTATTACTTTAATGATTCATAGCAATCTGGAAACATTTACTATTATAAGTTAATCAACACTAAGTCCACATTCTTTCATAAATAAGAACTGACACTCCTGACCCTAACAGTTAAACCTGTGGTTAAGCAGTATGCAAGGGGGTAAGGGCAATTTCCTGGGCTGCAAGTCATGGGTGGATTGGGCTTGGGGTGGGGAGCAAAGACCCCTCTGATTGCATTCTTAATTTTCCCTAGAGGAGGATAGCAGCTAGCTTCAGGTCTGCTATTTTTTTTTTTAACCATAGTATGGACATTAAATTTTAGGGGTTGTGGGACTTTGAAACAGGCTTCCCTGCCAGAATGATTCTGATGTCCTAATCTGCTTATTTTCTCCCTATGTGCTGAGAAGCAGTGCTGGCTCTGGGGAGAATTGTAAAGTAGCCATGGAATCCTTCTTCCTCTTATTCGCCACTGCCCCAGGGTACTTACAGGCAAAGCTCTGCTTTGGGATCCCCAAACAAGGTCTATACTCCCCAAGCCATGCCACAGGCTAGGGAATACTGATCCCAGGCACAAGGAATAGTCTAGTAGAAACCCCTTTGTATTAAGTAGCGGGATAATCACCAGGCAGCTCTACCTGTATTTTGAAGATTTCTTGTTTTCAAAAAATTCTATCCATACGTACAGGGTCAATTTTTCCAGTAGGCACGAATAGCACAATGCTTGAAGTTCATGATGTTTTTAGGGGCCCACAGAAATATATATTTAATCCTTACTTGAGGACATGCTTTTATTGTATTGATTTTTTCTTAGAGAGAGAGGAAGGGGGGAGAGAGAGAGAGAAACATTGATGTGAGAGTGAAACATGGATTAGTTGCCTCCTGCACACACCCCCTCTGGGGATCAAACCCACAACTTGGGTACGTGTCCTGACCTGGAGTTGAACCCACCACCTTTCGGTGTACAGGACAATGCTCCAACCAACTAAGCCACATCAGCCAGGGTAGAAATATTTTAATTTCTATTAAAATCAGAAGGAAAAAATGAAGAAAACTCAACCTGGATTATATTGATCTTTATACCAACATAGTTGTAAAATATCATTTTTTTAATTGGGAAAGCATTGCATTTTCAAACTGCCTCCACTGACTTCCCTTCCACTTTATTTATCAAAACCATTCCTAGACATCCATGTTGCCTTTAATTTTATTAATTCACATTTTGGTGACAGTGCGAGGCCAGTGATCCCACTGGTTCATAAAACGTCAGTAGCCATTAGAGAGAATTGCTACTGCTTTTGCCTCCATGAGTTATCTTTGGGGTGAAGTCACCTCTCAAAAGCCCATGGGAAATAGGAACAGGCGAGTGCAGAAAGCCTGACCTATGAATTTAACACAGCAATTTCTGTCTCTGGGTGGCCCCAGAAATGAGTTCAAGAATATTACCATCCCACCCACTTCAAAAAGTATTTAAAGCAGTGTTTACTCATGGCAAACAATAAAAACTAAAATCACTCTCTCAGCCCAGCACGACAGGAGCCACATCTGAATGTGCTTTGGCCTTAAAGCGTCATGAGTGTTGCTGGAGAAGAAAAATAAATCGAGACTCAAAGCAATATTTCAATTCATCAACACAGAATGAGTTGATTTTATTACTGAGTGTGGTAAATGGCTACAAAGCCGTAGTGGGTTTTTAGCTCTATTTATATGGAATTAAGGCTACAGCTGTTGTAGATCATCCAACTGGTGGGAAACAGCAGATACTTTGTTTTCATCAGTTACACTGAGCTTGCTCTGATGTCTCGCTTTCCCTAAGTTTCCATCAGGCTTGCTCTTCATAATTCTTTATCAGTACCTCCTACAGTTGTCCCTGACAGTGTATCTAGCACAGATGATTAGTCATGTACTTCACCATTCCTTAGTGAGATGAGATTAAGTTGTTTCCCCATGGTGCACCTTTTCCAGTGTGCTAATACCCTGAACATAAACTGGAAGGTACCCTAAATTCCAACAGGGGCTTCTGAATGTGGTATGAGGTCCTGATTGAAAATATTGCATTTATTTTTTAATTGTATCTGTGTCTATTTTCACTTTTCCTTGTTCTCTATCACCTGAGAAATATGCAATCCACTTTATCCTGTAGCTTGTGGTGACACTACAGGAAATCAGAAGCCTCTAGCAGTACAATCAAATCTCCTGGGGCCTGTGCCATTAACAAGTTCAGATGCATGGTCCCCACACAACAATAATTGAAGCAACATCTCTGGGGTGGGGCCCAACATCGTGTAATTTAAAGCCACTCTCTCCCAGTAGGTGATTCTCAAGTGCAGTCTGGATTGAGGGCTACTGCTCCATGAGGTTCTTGAGGGTACATAGCTATGCTTGATAAACATGTTTATAATGACCAAAAGAGAATCCCCATTACAATTTGGTGGAGGGGCTGGGGGTGGGAAGTAATTCCCCATCATTTTACCCTATAACAGGGTTTCTCAGGCTCAGCACTATTTTCATTTTGGGTCATTGGGAGTGGTCCTGTGCATTGTAGGATGTTGAGCAGCATCCCTGGTCTCTGTACTTCCCACAACTAGCACCTTCCCCCAAGTTGTTACAACCAAAAGTGTCTCCAGACATTGTCAAGTGTCCCTGAAGAGGAAAATGCCTTTTCCTTTTCCTTCCCCTGTTGAGAACCACTGTCCTAAAATGTCAACTCTTGGCTGGTTTCCTTTGCAAGGTTTATACTAGTTCACTTTTCACCTATGAATTGAAGCATTGAGCTGGCTCTAAATACAGAATATACAAACAAATATGACTTAGCATACACTTATGATTTATTCATTATATTAGAATATCTTAAAATTGTTCAAATTATAAAAATATTTGCATTTAGAAATGTGACCTTATTTAAGGTAAAAGACAAGAAAGCCATTAAACATGCATTTTATTGTCAGTACTGGAAATTTTCTGTAGCTCTGTAATCCCAAAATTAGCTTCCTTAAGCCTCCATTACTGAGACTAAACTTTGAATTTTTTTTAGACAGTTCTAAATTAAAACCTAACTCATTTCAATTAGACCAGAAAGGGGAGAATATGGCCTAAAAATGCCTCCTATAAGAAACAGAAAATGGTCTTCAGTAGTACTGTATTATTTTCTTATAAAAATGTTATATAGGGTGGGGGAAAATTAGGTTAACAGTTGTTCATATGGAAATACAATAATTAATAAATGATACAGGAATAAACTGTTTCTGTACTTAGAACTGTAAACCTACTTTCGCCCCACCCCGTATTTTGTATGCTTTAAAAGAAGGAAAGGAAAAGTCCTCTTAGATCACTGAAACCAATATGTGGCTTGTCTTATGATCTCTCTCCAGGGCCCGCTTCTTTGATGCAGTTATGTCGCCTTAGAATCCGGAAGTGCTTTGGGATCCAGCAGCATCATAAGATCACTGGACTCCTCCTCCCCGAGGAGCTGAAACGGTTTCTCCTACATATTTAAATGTGTTGAGGCAAGCATTATCTTATGCTGTGGCCACGTTTAAAAATAAAGTTGAATTTATAAAGCATGACTAGTTTTTTCAGTTGGATTTTTGTTTTCAACAGAAACGCACTAGGTACTTTTGTTTTTGGTTGGAAGACATGAAGACTTTTTTCCTTTCCTGCCTGGAAGAGTGTGGCTAAAAGAACAACTATTGTTTTGAATATCTACTATGTGCTAAACAGTGAGCTAGGAACACTTAGTGCATTGTCTGATTTAGCCCTCCCAGCAACCCTATCAGCTGGGTGCTATCCCTGCTCTTCTCCAACTAAGACACAGAGATTGGGAGGTCTGTTTGTCCAGTTACCCACAGCAGGGACAGGACAGCCAGAATTGAGGATAGATTTTCTGATACTAACCTGGGGACTTTGGAGTGAGGCAGAATTTTCCAATATTACTATTCTAGCTTCATCTGCGTTACATGCACAGGCAGACGAAGAAAGACGTTTCTTTGCTATATCTGACTTTTTTTTTAAACCTTCCTTGTTCTTATGACAAAATCACTACTGCCCTAGTATAGCATAGGGGCCAGTTCTTTTTCTCAGCCCAAATGTTATATACATATTAGGCATATTCTAGAACTATGCTGTCTAATACAGTAGCTACTGCCCAGTGGTTCTCAACCAGGGCGATTTTGCCCCCTACGGGACACTTGGCAATGTCTGGAGACTTGGTTGTCACCACTAGGGGAGCATCAGAGATATGTGCTACTGGTATCTAGTGGGTAGAGGCCAAGGATGCTGCTAAGCATCCTACAGTACACAGGACAGTGCCCACGGCAAAGAATTATGCAGTCCAAAATGTAGATAGTGCCAAGGTTGAGAAACCCTACACTAGCCATATGTGGCCATTTTAAAAATATATAAATTAATTAAGATTATATAAAGTTAAAAATCCAGTTCCTCAATGTCATTAGCTATATTCCACATGTTTAATAACTATACATGGCTAGTGCCTATTGTATTGGACAGCACAGATATATGTCATTGCAGAAATTTCTTTTGCTCCATTGTTGCAGAAGTTTCTTTTAGAGAAATTTCTTTTGGACAGCACTCTTCAGATGCTTGACAAATGGATTTTAACTGCCTTTCAGTTTCTGATTTACACGAGACTTGTGATATAATTTAGTAATGAATGGCTGTAGTTTCAGTTTTCTCTCTGAGAGATGAATTTGGAGTTCCATTCTATCAATAGAAAGAAAGAAAATACTGTACCTACTTAAGGCAAATATTTACCTATATGATAACATATGGCCCAGATGATCTCTAAAGATATCTTTGATATAATTTTCTGTGATTCTAGATTCAGTTTACTACAAGAAAAAACAAAACAAAAAACAAAAAGCTTAGAACGCTGTTCTAAAGTGCCCAACTAGTTACCCAACAGATGGCGCTGCTGCCACATAGACACTTAAGCAAAGGGCTTGCTTCTCATAAATAACCCATTGTAAGATGGTTTACAGCATAGACTCTGGAAATTTCCACCCAGGAATGAAAACTTTGTAGTGATAAATGCCATTGACACTGGGTTTCCTTCTTTTCCAGTGTACCCAAAACTTCAAATGTGGCTTTACAGAACCTTACCTCCCTGCTTCTTTATTTTTCTTCTTCATCTGATCATGTTTACATTTATAACTGCTCACAATTTAGATCGAATCCTGCCACTTGCTAATTCATTTAATTTTATTAATTCATTTATTTAGGAAATATTGAGTGAGTGCCAGTGTCTGTGATAGGCATTATTTTGACACCAGGGTGGCTACAGTGAATGGCACAGGCAAAGATACTGACTTTCTGGATCTTATACTCTAGTCGGGGGAGTCATTTGCTAAGGAGAAAGGGGCTGTAGGCATTTTGCTATGGTTTTCTCTTTGAAAACACTAGGTTAAAAAGCCTGTTTTCTCATCTAAAATGTATTGGACAAACTCTTGCTTATGTTAATCTTTCCTTGGCTAAATCCTCTGCGTTTAACCCAAGACTGTACAGAATTACTAGAACAGCATTTTTCTTCTTAAATCTTCCACACAATTAACCAATTTGCAAATCCACATAATAGATGGTCATATCTGCAAAGGGGAAAAGTATTACCAGCACCTCTCTTCTTGCAATTTAAGAAAATTTTCAAATTATCTCACTTAGCAATGTTCAGAAAGGTTATATTAAAATAGAAAGTCTATGTTTATGAGTCTAGATGTAGTTATATTTATAAGTGGCTTATACCTTTGAATGTTTTATCATCACAATCTGGCACAACTTCATAAATTCTATCATTGAAGCTGGTTGAGTGACTTTAATAGACGCCTCCACCTTCATGAATAAGGGATGTAAATGTTTAGCCTTGTGAAACCATCTTTTAAAAATGTTAATTACTTTGTCTGTTTTTAGAGAGTGAACTTAGCCCATACTTATTGTAGCTCAGTCTCATACTGTTGGTTTACTATGTTTCCTTGGTTTTATCCAGCAGAAATACTGAGCAGTGGGTACACATCGTTAGCACAATTTGTGTTATAATGAAGGAAGATAGCAAGAAGAGGCCAGGGAAGGACAATTGATTTATCCTGGATTTATATTGGGGCTGACTGACATGGTCTGATACTCCATCTACTAGGCTGCAGTGGTTAGTCATTAGGCAGACACTTAAGGCTCAGAAACAAGGGACCAAAATGTGCTCAGCTGTGTATTCTGCGGCACAGAGATGGACATTTATTATATGATGAAAGCCCAGCATTGGACCTTGAGTATAAGACCCAGTCAGCATCAAAAGCAACTAAATAATTCCCATTTTAGAAGGCTTGTTAACAGTAGGCCCCATGCATCAGTGATTTATAAGCCTCACCTCAAAGCTTCACAGTTCGATCATCCCCATTTTACAGATGGGGATGAAGAAGGGTTAAGGAATTTGCAAGAGTCACACAGTAGGTGGTGAAGCCAGAGTTTAGTGCAGGAACTGGGGCTCTTAACCATTACACTCTCTGTCTTTTATTTTCTTCAATAAACCTCAGAGCTCTGGTCCCTGGGTCCTAAAACCCCCTGTCTAATTTCCCAGGTATGTCTTGGAAGCAGAGGTGGAGTTGAGTCTGTAGGTCAAAGGTCTTGGCATGATGTCAGATGACTGTGCCAGTTTTAGGTTGGACATCACTCAGCCCTTGTCCTGACCACATGAATCAGCCTGGGAGGACCCAAACTTGCTGCCTCTTGGGACAGGTGGGTCTGCTTTGCCCTGCCAGTGATGCTTGTGAGTACAAAACAAAACATTCCCAGGGACAAGCCCGGTGTCCCAAATGAGATTGTCCTTTTTATTTTCCAGAACTGAGAGTATTTTGTACTGACATTGACAGTGACAAAAATCTTTATCTGTAATGTGGCAGGATGGAGGGGAAGCTACCTTGACTTTGAACAAAATCACCTGACTAATGATTTGCTAGCTGTGTATGTTGTTTTTCTAAAATTTTCTTTCTTGCTGTATTATTGTCCTATTACTACATAACAAATTATCTCCCTTAAAGCAACACAAACTTATCTCACAGTTTCTGTAGGTCAGAATTCCAGGTACAGCTTGACTGCATTCTCTGCTCAGGACTGAAATCAAGGTATTGGCTAAGGCTATAGTTCTCTTCTATGGTGTAGGGGTCTTCCTTTAAGATCGCTGGTGGACAGAATTCAGTTCCTTGTGGTTGCAAGACTTGGGTCCCTGTGTTCCTGCTAGCTGTCAGCTGAGGATTGCCCTCAGCATCTAGAGTTCGCCCATATGTTCCTTGCCATGTGGCCCCCTCTATAGGAAGTTCACAGCATGGCTTTCTTCCAGGCCAGGTGGAATGCATCTCCCTGAGTGTCTATGCTGTGGCCAGCTGGAGGAAACTGCTTCTGATTAGGTCAGACCTACCTGGATAATCTCCTGATGAAACCTTAATTACATCTGCCAAAGCTCTTCAAATGAGCGCCTAGATTAGTGTTTAATTGAATCACTGGCAGAAGGAGTGTGTATAGCAGGGGCCCAGAATCATGGGGGTCATCTTAGAATTCTGCCCATCATATCTGCTAATGGTTAATAACCATCAATTTTCTGTTGATCTGACTTACTCTATAGTCACAGGAGATCTATCTTATCAGATGGCTCAGCAGCCCCCAAAGGCCAGAGGCACCCACTGTCACAGGCAGGATAAAGGGGCCTTCCGTTAGATGTAACCTGGAGGCTTGTTCTGTTGTCAAGAACAGCCACTCCTAGGACTTCCTGTGTCTTTCTCTAGCCCCCCCCCCCCTCTTTAAGTGTGTTTGGACTGGGACTGAGGCAGTCTCACTCAGGTTTGGCTTATACTGTAGGCTCATCTTGATGAGGAACACAGCAAAAATGCTTAGCATGGTCCCCTCAGCACAAAAGAGTCCTACCTTTATGCTGTATCCTCCATGGTGTGATGGAGGAGAACGTCCTACTGCTTAACACACCGGCCAAGACCTTTAGACTCCTTCAAATGTATCAGTTCTCACTGATTTGACAAGATTGATTTTCTACCCTTTATTTTGTAAAATCCATTGTAAGGCCAAGGCAAGTAAAATTGATTTCTGCTCACTTTCCTCCATACCTGGGGCCTCTTTGCTCACTCCTGGTGATATGAGATTTTTCAACTTTCTATGCCCTTTTGAAAAGCTTATTTTTGTTTTTGTTTTTGAAGTACAGTGAAATCAGGAGGTTCTATGGGCCAGTGTGGGAATTTTTATGTGAGAATATGTTGGAAACCTACATGTATATATCATAAACATTAGAACATGACCATGAAAACTGGGGATGGTATTGCTCTGCTTTTTGTCCAATTCACATCTTGTGCATTTTACTTAAATAAGAATGCACTTTAGAAAGCCACCATTGAAAATTGTACGATATCAAATGTAATGGGTATGCATTTTACTCTTTGACATAGGACATATGGAATGTCCCATTTCTTTTAATTCTCTAAAGTGAAATTAAGC